CTCACTCACTCACTCACTCACTCACTCACACACACTCAGACACACTCACACACACACTCAGACACACTCACACTCACAAACACACACACACACACACACACACACATCTATACATACAGTATATATACAATATATATATTTCCCATCTTTATGTAAAAACTCAATTATATATATATTTGATATCAATATAATTTTATTTACATATAAAAGCGCTCTATAAATAAATTGTTCATTAATTATATTATTAATGCTGCATCCTCTAATTTTAATAATTATATAAATTATAAATTCATATTATATTATGTGATCTTTCTGAGTACATTCTGATGAAATATCTTCTTTGACTTGGAGATGTATCACATTACAGCAGCAAAATGGGGTGCAAACACCGTTTTATGTTTACTCTTAGAGCACGTGGTGGAACCAGAGTACGTACCATTAATACACTTAGTGTTAGTTAACTTTCCATCCATGCTATAGTAAAACTGGCAGAGCTTCAGCTGAACGTTTCACTCAGAATAAACATTAAAGAGTCATTTCTGATTGTAATTTGTCATCTGCTGTAATGTAGCCGACACACACTGACGGATTGTTCTCATCAGACATCTATAAACGCTTTGGCTTTGGTTTGTGGCCGTTCAAAGCATCTCACCGTCTTCTGTTTCTCCAGAAGATTCCTCTCCAGAACCTTTTGGCTGCTATTTACGGCTACTGCGCTGGGAAAGCATGAACATTCGTTTATTCCCCTGGCAAACTCCATCCTGGAACAAAACACAAACCTGCAGTTAAATAATACGATGTTTATACGTGATCTACTAGAGCTTTAATTATCTAATTCACTTACTATAATTACTGTTCAGGAGGTGTTTTAATGCCTAATGGTGATATTAATGAAATAAAGAGTTATAAAATAAGTCATGCGAGCAGATATTTGAATGTGCGTCTTAGTAAAGCAAACCAGCAAAGTCTCCTCAACAACACAGTAATCTGAGGACTGATGGAAACAGCAATAATGATTCATTTGAAACTATATAACAGGTTCTCGGTGAGGATTGGTCTGTATGTTGAGTTGTATTTGAAGTCAAGGAGGAAATATTTGCCGTCTAGGGAACAATTATCTCCTCAGACGTCTTGTAGTTGTTGGTTGTTTGCTCTTTTGTTTAGCTCCAAACTTCCATACTGTAGCATTTCTTTCTCTCACATTAATAGTGCAGGTTTGATTTGTGCTGCTTGCGTTTCTGCCGAGTTACATCATGCTTATTTCTAGCTGCATTGAAACTAAATAAAATGCAAATAAAATTGACTTTTTTGTCCATTCTATGAAAGTCAATGGGGTCCAGTGTTGTTTTGGAGCTAATTAACTTTCACTGTATTACGAAAACCAGTAGCGAGTGAGTGTTGTGTCTGTGTATCGCAGGTGTGTTCATGTGGAGGTGTTCATATGTGTGTGTTTTTGTTTTTCTGCAGTGATGTGCTTGTTTTCGGGGCAGACGCTGGTGGATGGACAACGCTGTGCTGTTCACGATCCCACCGCGGGACTCTGCCAGCTGTTTGAATGCAAGGTACAATCTCTGTACATTTACACAAAACACAAAACCAACCAATGTGTGTGTGTGTGTATGTGTGTGTATATATATATATATATATATAGATATGTATAGATAGATAAAAGCATGTAATTATTTGCATAGTATTTAAACATACATATTTACAAGTAGTACATTTTTAAACACCCTAGCAACCACCCAGAACACACTATAAACTGCATAGCAACCACCTAGCAACTGCTTTCCTAACAACCACGCAGAACACCCTAACCACTGCCTAGGAACCACCCATACCCCTTTTCCACCGAGGCAGTTTGAGTGCTGGTTCGGAGCCAGAGCCTAGTTTCAAATCGGTTCTTTGTCTTTCGACACCCAAAGCACCAGCTCCGAACCAGGAAAAGTGGTTCTTAAGTAGCACCAAAACATTGCTGGTCTAGAAGTAAGAACCGCTTCCGTCAGGGGCTGAGGGCGGGGTTACCGTGACCAACAAGACGAACAGAAACTTTTGACCACCATTTTTTAAGTAGCAGCTAAACACAAACACGTTGAATTGGCCGTGTTTGGATGCTGATGTAGGTTCGCAAAGCCATGAACATCAATAGCAATGCAACGTCCACCACTGCTGATTGTGTGTTTAGGCTTGTTCGGGCTGCATCGGCGCTCCGCGGGAGTGATCGGATAGCAGACGACTCTCTTTATGCTTTTGGATCGCTTTCGCGGTGCTTTGGTGTCGTGTGCCGATCGGTCTGCCTGTTGTGTTTGGCGCTGCCACGGTAGCGTTACTGGGGAAGATGAGATGTATTCAGTGACGTAAGACCTGGCTCTGTGGTGGCTCTCTAGCCTGTGGAAAGGCAATCCGGTTCTTAGAAGGAACACCAGTTGAACCAACTCCGAACCGGCAATAGCACTGGCTCTGAACTAGCACCCGGTTCATGTTGGTGGAAAAGGGGTACCAGAGTACCCGAGCAACTGCCTAGAAACCACCTAAAACAGCTTAGGAACTACCTAGTAACCACCCAGAGTGCCCTAGCAACTGCCTAGCAACCACCCAGAACACACTAGCAACTGCATAGCAACCACCTAGCAACACCCTAGCAAACCACCCAAAGTACCCTAGCAACATCCTAGCAACTGCATAGCAGCCACACAGAACACCCTAACAACTGCCTAGGAACTACCCAGACTACCTGGACAACCGCCTAGAAACCACCTAAAACAGCCTAGCAACACCCTAAAAACCACCCAGAGTACCCTAGCAACCGCCTAGCAACCACCCAGAACACACTAGCAACTGCATAGCAACCACCTAGCAACACCCTAGAAAGCACCCAGAGTACGCTAGCAACATCCTAGCAACCATGCAGAACACTCTAACAACCGCTTGGGAACTACCCAGAGTATCCTAGCAACTGCCTAGTAACCACATAAAACACCGTAACATCCGCCTAGCAACACCTTAGCAACCACCCAGACTATCCTAGCAACTGCTTAGCAACCGCCTAGAATCACCCTAGCAACAACTCAGAGCACCCTAGCCACCGTCTATATAATTTTTTTTTTTTTAGGACGAATGATAAACCCAGTTGCTTTTCTTATCTTTTCTTTCAGGATCGCACGATGCATAGAGTGACGGACACGGAAGACTGTCCGCAGCTCACCTGCGCTGAATCTGACCAGATCACACTGACAGACAGATGCTGCAAAGTCTGCAGAGGTATGTGCGATATCTGCCCTTCTTCTGTACAGACAAGACCTCGAAGAAACGTTGCTCATTGCCACCGAACGTGCAATAAATAATAATCGGTGTGTGTAGTTTGACCTTAGCCTGACCTTTAGCGCTTCGGTGTTTCTAGAAGCATAAATCCATGAACGCAAATCTCCTCTATCTGGGGTTAAAGGTCACGACTTCTGTGCGGAGGACAACATCTGTGCGGAGAACTCGGCCTGCGTGAACTTAGACGCCGGGGCCAGCTGCAGCTGCAAGAACGGCTTCCGGCTGCTGCGCGAGGACAGCGTCTACTGCGAAGGTGAGCCGTCAATCAAACACTGGTCAGCTGATCCATCAGATAATCCCGCACTCCTGAATCCATGCGCATGCACTGCGGGAAGCGGATCATAATTACAGCACTCTGGGAACAGGAATTTAACAGCAATAGAGCCGCCGACTGATTTTAATATTCCACGATATACATTATTATTCCAGGACATGCGTATAATAACTCACTTGTGGTAACTGGATTTTTCTGACGCAGTATCGAGTGTTGACATAAAATAGGTCGCACTTAGATACTAATATAACACGTACTACTTTGGGGATTGAAATTTACAAATTTAACACATTAATTTAGCACAATTTTTAAGATATATATTAATAAGATTAATTAAAAAGATATATATTATTTATAATAACGTTAAATTAATATTAATATGATTAATGTTTTAGAATTATTACAAAATAAATATAAAATTCTGAATATAATATTAATAATAAATATGTAAAAATATGTAATAATTAAAAATAAAAACGAATGTTAATAAATATAACATTATAAACATATATAATAAATATTATTATTACAATAATAATATAATAAATGAATTTAGTACAATTCAAGTAATAAAAATATGTGTTAGAAATTCATATTAAAGTAATATTAATGTATTAAAATGAATACCAAAAAAAGTAAAAAATATAAATATAAAATTAATAATAAATTATATTAGTATATTATGAATGTAATGCAATAATAATGTAATTAATTTGGTATACTTCATTTTATAAACATATATAATAATTTTTATTAATGCAATAATAATATAATAAATTAATTTAGTACAATAGTACAAATAATAAAAATATAATGTGTTAGAAATTATAATTCATACAGTTAGAAATTTTATGAAATAAAATTCATATTGAAGTAAAATTATAAATATAATATTTAAAAAAATTATATTAGTATATTATAAATGTAATACAATAATAATGTAATTAATTTGGTACAATTCGTTACATAAAAATATAACATGTAATATAATATTGTTAATTATTAATAATGCAAAATAAATATTCATGTAATATTGTAATGTGTTGCAATTAATATTAATAAATATCAAACTATATATGATATTAATAATAATTCATATGAATGTATTATAAATAAATGTAATAATAAAATACAAGTTTAGTACAGAAAACAGTTTACAAATAAAATAAAATATTATAAATTAATATATTATAAAAATATACTATAATAAACAATATTATAATTCATGTAATGTAATATAATACATAACACCGTATAAAAATTCAGCAATAAGAAATATTCCTACCATAATTTTCAAGTCTGTTGTCAATGCTCACAACACAAGATGCTGCGTGAATATGAAATATAGTATATTGAGATCTATTTGATGTCAGATCGATATGTGATTAGTTTGAGTAATTGATCATCTTGTAATTCTATTGTTGACTGACAGCTCTAAAAATACAGAATTCTCCGTTATCTGTGTTCGTTTTCATGCACGTGACTAATTAACCACACTGCATTATTGATGCGCGACTAGGATCCGTCTTGCTTCGGCATCTTAATTGGCTGCTGTTGCGTACGAGTGTGAGTAAGTCATCAATGTCTCCCTCCACCTTCCTCATCCTGGTTTTCTGCTCTCAAAGCCGAGCCGCCGCGCATGGCCTACTTTCTGTGAATGCCTAATGACTCGGGCCGTGTTTCTGGGGGCCTCCCGCGCTTCAGTCGGATCTCTAATGAAACCTGTTCATCTCGTCGGCTAAAAATAACCGCGTACAAACGACCCCGCTGTCGCCGGGCCTCGGCTCACGTGTGCGGCCGGCCAGGTAATTATCAAAGACTGAGAGGATATGAATAATTAAAGATGCTATCAGACACGCTGGCTCACAGCGAGCTGGACGCTCCTAAACGTTCCCGCGGGACACCGTTCTGGACGCTCTCGGATCGGGTTCAACAACAGAACGGAAGAGGAATGTCTGGAGGAGAAATCAAAGTGTTTTGAAATATAAGCCATGTGTAACCCAGAAACGCCGGCCGCGTCCCACTTGCACACTCATTCGTCTCCTCTTTCTGTTTAACCTTGCTGTTTGGGACGCTACACCTGCTGCTGGGCTTTCCATCATTAGCTGGAGGACGATCTCTGCTTTTAGCTTTACAAATCACACACATCTGCACATTCTAGCTGGTTAATGCAATAAACATTCTGTTTTGGGGCGATATTTAATAGCTAGAGATGAGCGTTACAACCAAAATCATATATTAAAGTTATATAAATATATATATATATATATATATATATATATATACATAGTCCCGCACTCCTGAATCCATGCGCATGCACTGCGGGAAGCGGATCATAATTACAGCACTCTGGGAACAGGAATTTAACAGCAATAGAGCCGCCGACTGATTTTAATATTCCACGATATACATTATTATTCCAGGACATGCGTATAATAACTCACTTGTGGTAACTGGATTTTTCTGACGCAGTATCGAGTGTTGACATAAAATAGGTCGCACTTAGATACTAATATAACACGTACTACTTTGGGGATTGAAATTTACAAATTTAACACATTAATTTAGCACAATTTTTAAGATATATATTAATAAGATTAATTAAAAAGATATATATTATTTATAATAACGTTAAATTAATATTAATATGATTAATGTTTTAGAATTATTACAAAATAAATATAAAATTCTGAATATAATATTAATAATAAATATGTAAAAATATGTAATAATTAAAAATAAAAACGAATGTTAATAAATATAACATTATAAACATATATAATAAATATTATTATTACAATAATAATATAATAAATGAATTTAGTACAATTCAAGTAATAAAAATATGTGTTAGAAATTCATATTAAAGTAATATTAATGTATTAAAATGAATACCAAAAAAAGTAAAAAATATAAATATAAAATTAATAATAAATTATATTAGTATATTATGAATGTAATGCAATAATAATGTAATTAATTTGGTATACTTCATTTTATAAACATATAATATTTTTTATTAATGCAATAATAATATAATAAATTAATTTAGTACAATAGTACAAATAATAAAAATATAATGTGTTAGAAATTATAATTCATACAGTTAGAAATTTTATGAAATAAAATTCATATTGAAGTAAAATTATAAATATAATATTTAAAAAAATTATATTAGTATATTATAAATGTAATACAATAATAATGTAATTAATTTGGTACAATTCGTTACATAAAAATATAACATGTAATATAATATTGTTAATTATTAATAATGCAAAATAAATATTCATGTAATATTGTAATGTGTTGCAATTAATATTAATAAATATCAAACTATATATGATATTAATAATAATTCATATGAATGTATTATAAATAAATGTAATAATAAAATACAAGTTTAGTACAGAAAACAGTTTACAAATAAAATAAAATATTATAAATTAATATATTATAAAAATATACTATAATAAACAATATTATAATTCATGTAATGTAATATAATACATAACACCGTATAAAAATTCAGCAATAAGAAATATTCCTACCATAATTTTCAAGTCTGTTGTCAATGCTCACAACACAAGATGCTGCGTGAATATGAAATATAGTATATTGAGATCTATTTGATGTCAGATCGATATGTGATTAGTTTGAGTAATTGATCATCTTGTAATTCTATTGTTGACTGACAGCTCTAAAAATACAGAATTCTCCGTTATCTGTGTTCGTTTTCATGCACGTGACTAATTAACCACACTGCATTATTGATGCGCGACTAGGATCCGTCTTGCTTCGGCATCTTAATTGGCTGCTGTTGCGTACGAGTGTGAGTAAGTCATCAATGTCTCCCTCCACCTTCCTCATCCTGGTTTTCTGCTCTCAAAGCCGAGCCGCCGCGCATGGCCTACTTTCTGTGAATGCCTAATGACTCGGGCCGTGTTTCTGGGGGCCTCCCGCGCTTCAGTCGGATCTCTAATGAAACCTGTTCATCTCGTCGGCTAAAAATAACCGTGTACAAACGACCCCGCTGTCGCCGGGCCTCGGCTCACGTGTGCGGCCGGCCAGGTAATTATCAAAGACTGAGAGGATATGAATAATTAAAGATGCTATCAGACACGCTGGCTCACAGCGAGCTGGACGCTCCTAAACGTTCCCGCGGGACACCGTTCTGGACGCTCTCGGATCGGGTTCAACAACAGAACGGAAGAGGAATGTCTGGAGGAGAAATCAAAGTGTTTTGAAATATAAGCCATGTGTAACCCAGAAACGCCGGCCGCGTCCCACTTGCACACTCATTCGTCTCCTCTTTCTGTTTAACCTTGCTGTTTGGGACGCTACACCTGCTGCTGGGCTTTCCATCATTAGCTGGAGGACGATCTCTGCTTTTAGCTTTACAAATCACACACATCTGCACATTCTAGCTGGTTAATGCAATAAACATTCTGTTTTGGGGCGATATTTAATAGCTAGAGATGAGCGTTACAACCAAAATCATATATTAAAGTTATATAAATATATATATATATATATATATATATATATACATAGTTTAAACTGTGATAATGTGATTTTATTTATAGTTTATTTATAATATATATATATATATATATATATACAAATCAAATATATAAATTCAATATTTTAAATACTTTTGGAATTATTTATAATATATATATATATATATATATATACAAATCAAATATATAAATTCAATATTTTAAATAATTTTGGAATAAATTTGGAAATTCAATTTAAAACCGTTCTTATATTACAGTAAATAATCGTGTTAATGTCTATTTGTGTACTTTAATACTTGAATGAAATACTTTACAAATGATGGTGCTTCATCTCATTTGATTATTTTTTCATAAATTTGAATCTTGATGGACTTTTGATGGAATTGGTCTGACATCGGTGTAAAAACTGCTATTCTAAACCGGAAGAATGTAAAATAAATTAAAATATAATTAAATATTTAAACATATGTAAGTATTTAATATTTATAAATTAAAAAATGTATATTTAAATTAATTGTATATAATATATGTATCATTTTAAGTCACATTAGAACAGTTTAAAATCATAATCTCATTTTATTATTTTCATCAGTCTGACATTGGTGTAAAACAGATCCACATAAAATAAAATTTAAAATAAAATGAATTAAATGTTTATCATGTATATAAAATTTAATTAAATAGAAATAATTAAATACACATTTATTAAAGTATTTTATATTTATTAAAATGTATAATACACACACACACACACACATATAAAATAAAAAAAATTAATTAATTATACATATATAATAAATATTTATTAAAATGTTATATTTATTAAATTTATTTATTTAAATTCACATTATAACACTAAAATAAAATGAAATTATATAAATTAAATATAAATACATTTTAAACAAATATAAATATATTTAATAAAATAATTGTATATAAATATTTTATATTTTAAGAATTTTTATATTTAGTAAAATGTATTTAAAACTTGTATTGAAATAAATTATTGTAAATAAAGAGAGAGTTGGACGAGACATATTTGAAGCTATAGTACTAAACTCTGCTTCACAGAACAATGTTTTGTAAGTAAGTAAATTCTATTTATATAGCACATTTAATAAACATAGCAAAGCTATCCAAAGTGCTGAACAAAGTAAATGAAAGTTAAATAAAGACAGAATAAAACCAAACAAAACAGACAATAAAACAAAATCTAAAATGCTAAGGTGTAGAGATACATTTTCAACTTTGATCATATTGGGGTGACATGGTCATATTTCTTTTTATTCAGAGTCCAGTATGACACCAAGGTTCCTAACCTGGGAGGAAATTGAGGGAAAATGATTGCCCAGCTCCTTAACGAGACAACTCCTCGATTTTGGGGGACCGAAAACAATTATTTTTGTCCTCATTAAGTTGGAGAAAGTTATTTGATAACCATTTCTTAATATCCGAGATACATTCCAACAATAATATCCCCCAGTGGACGCATATATGAGTTAAAAAGAAGCGGGCCCAGAATAGAGCCCTGGGGTACTCCACTAATATTAGGGGCAGAAGATGAAGAAAACACCTAACTCTACAGAAAAATACCTGACTTTAAGATATGAGCTGAATCATCGTAAGGCAGTACCGTTGATACCGATTAAATGCTCTAAATGCCAAATAAGAACATTATGATCGACAATATCAAAGGCAGCTATAAGACCAAGTAGTATCAATTCAGCATTTTTACCGGCATCAACTGCAAACAAAATGTCATTGAACACGTTTAGCAAGGCAGACTCTGTACTATGATAAGCAGTGAAACCAGATTGAAAAGGTTTTAATAAGTTAGCTGCATTTAAAAAACGGGATCAATTGTAAACTGCACAACTTTTTCAAAAAGCTTTGACAAAAACGATAGCTTAGAGACAGGCCGATAATTATTAAAGCAGCTTTCATCCAAACCTTGTTTCTGAACAACCGCATGCTTAAAACAGTTCGGAACCACTCCAGTGTCCAAAGATGAATTACTCAACACTTGGACACTGGGGCCAATTACAGGAAAGGCTGAATTGATAATCTGAGGGAACAACATCAAGTTTTCAGTCATAACTTTCACTAAACTGAAAGGCAGTAAGTGAGTTTATAAGATAAAAATAAAAGCCTTAATCACAACAGGCAGAGCTCGACCATCAAACGCCTCATTTCACCTGATACTGACACGATTAAGCCGGAAAACATGTGGCGACCCAAACAATGTCCCGTAACCGTCAGGCACCTCATGATGTTGTTGTGGATCAGAACATGCAAAATTTCATCATGTGATACTGAAAAATCCCGAAACACCCCAGAGACTGAGACAAAACTTTCCCGTCTCCAGCATCAAGAGATTCAGAAACACGTCTGCTTTCTTCATTATGCAGACGGAGGAACGCGAGTCTCCCTCAAGAAGCATACGTAGCTCTTTAGAGGC